AGTCTTTCTCTAAACTATTAACTTTACACCAAAATAACTGCCATAGACATAGACTCTCTCGCCCAATCATAAGTTGAAAGAGTGACGGTCAAATCCCATTATTCGATTAAAGTAGGCGGTGTTCACTAGTTGCCTTCCCTCTAATCTATCACTTAAAATTAGGGATGGCTAGAGCAGATAGTTCACGCGTAAGTTTATGCGAAAAACAACAAACGTTAAAAAATTAAAATATATTAGCGTATCTTGTACGTTTTTATTTTCAGTTATTTAGCCCCCGGTGGGACAGCGGTAAGTTTAAAAACCTGACAAAGCTAAAATCAGGGGTCTGATTCCCCGCGATGGACACAGCAGATGGCCCAATGTGGCTTTACTATAAAACAAATAAATCAGCTGTTTAATGACTTGAGCTAAAATCGCATAAGAATGGTGATCAAGAAATTAGAGAAAAACGTTAACTTTGTTTATACAATTGGATATAAGTCTATAAACATGCTGGCCACTATAACAAGATGTACTACGTAAAGCCTTATTTTCGATGACGAGGAACCCACTTTGAGAGTAATAATGGTTGGAGACGGCTTAAATGAGTAATGAAGAAAAACTTTTATATAAGTTTAACATAACAGCAAATGTACAACGTTTCGACAAGGTTTTGTCATCATCAGGTTTTGTCATAAAGCCTTATTTGTTTGAAAATTTTTATTTGTAAAATCCATGTTTCATTATTATTTCTAACTACAAATTTTGATCTATTATGAAAACACGTTTTATATTCTTATCCTTTCATTATATATGATGAAATATTCATAATAGTTTTGTGAAGGAAGGACTTCTGAATCAGTTGTCTATAAAATAAATAATTAAAATATTCATCGTTTCAGGACAGAAATGCCATTGTTGAGCACGTGAAGTTGTGGCCTGGCGCAAGTGTTTATTATGAGTTAGATCCAGCCGTAGGTAAGGTTTTTTCAAACCCTTCTTGATACCATACTCAAGATTTTTTAAAACTAAGCTACAGTTGTTTTTTCTGAACTTATTTTTTAAAGTTCCTACGGTTTTAATAGCTTTCTCTGTACAATAAAATCTAATCTAGAGATTATCTAACCTTCAAGTAGAAATTTCCAGCAGCTTTGTCGTTAAGAGAAAGTTAGTATAATCGAGGTGTTTATACAGGGTGGCCCAAAATCATCTTTCCTGTTTTAAAATTTCATAATTAACTAACTAAGAAAATAAAACCATACAGTTTTCAATATCTTATAGCCCAATTCAAATAGTTTTTATTGATATACCAGTGGTCACCCGGTGGGACAGTGGTAAGTCTTCGGATTTGCAAATCTAAAGTCAGGGGTTCGATTTCCCACGGTGGACACAGCAGATAGCCCGATGTGGTTTTGTTATAAGAAAACAAATAAACATATCCGTAAACTTCTTCGTGTGTACTATTAGTGGCTCTCAGCACGTCTGACCGATATTCGATTTCAGTACAAGTTCGCTGCAACAAGACCACAGTTACAGTGGCGATGGCGATCATTATCCTGGTCTTTAGCTCCGTGATGTTTGCTATAAGTGTGCGATACACGATATCTTTAACATACTTCATACTTCTTTCCTGTACTGGCTTCTGTAATTACGCTGCAGCACAGTCATTGACTGGGTAGCAAGCCAAACGACACATTGAGTCTTTTCTTGCATGGTTGCCATATTATGGGATAACACTACTCACAGGAATGAAAAAAAAAACAACAACATGACAATAAAAACTGTTTGAGTTGGGGTACAAGATGCTAAATTTTAAAATAACAATGATAATTTTGGGCCATCTTTTGCCATTTCGTTAATTGTTTTCTATATTAAGCTTTCTTATGTACATACTAATATGACTTTCCAAACTTTACACGACTGTCCTTGTCTGTAAATTCAAAACATAATAACGAGTTCGCACGCAAAATTGTAAACTCGTAGAAAAACTTATCTTGTTACACAAACTTCGCCTGATTCACGTTAAAATCCTTTAAAGTTTCACGCCAAAAATCTTTAAAAGTTTCGCGTTAAAATCTTTAAAAATGAAAGGAGGGAGATAAATCAATTACAGCTAGATTTAACTGAAAATATTCACATATAAAAACACCTTTTCTTCTTGTGGAAAAATATGAAGTAATGAGTTTATGCAAACAAATTAATCTAATTTTTGTTTCTATTTTTAAATTAAGAAGTATTCACCTGGAGAGAGATCTAAGTACCAAGATAGTACCAAGATCATTCTATATCTTTTTAAGTAAGGATTTCCTGTTTCCTCACTGTTTTCACTTCGATTTCTAAGTTTATATATTTAATTTTTTTAAGTTAAGCTCGGTAAACAACATTTATTAAAAATATACTTGTTTTTAATTGTATAATCTGAACACAATATTCCTTAAGATATATATATATAATTGTTTTTTAATTGTACACTAGAGACACAACATTTATTAAAAATATACTTGTTTTTAATTGTATAATATGAACACAATATTCCTTAGGATATATATATATAATTGTTTTTTAATTGTACACTAGAGACACAACATTTATTAAAATATACTTATTTGTAATTGTTATTTTTACTTTGGGACCTTTTTCTCCTACTTTAAATTTAGTAATGCGTATTTGAAAGTCTTGGATTTTTAGAATATATGAGGAATGACATAATGGAAGCCATAGGTGACTATCATAACAACACTTGCGTCAAGTTCCTGCCGAAAACAACCATTACAGTAGACTATATAAGGATCGTCAATGAACCTGGGTAAGTTATCAATTAATTAACCAATTGAAACATTCGGACCACCAACATTATAAATTCAATGTACATTGATGACTCGAGAACACTTCTTGCTATTCTCTAATTAACATGATCATTGGTGTATTATTTGTTGTAATTGAATATTTTCTTGGATTAAAATATATTCCTTTACTGAGTTTGGGAGTTTTAAAGTGATAAACTAATCAAATAACGTTAGAGTAGCTCGTTCCTACATCAAAGATGAAATTTCTTGGGGAAGGAAACAACATTTAAATTGTATGTATTTTATCTTTCATCTGTATAAGTATTGTTAGATGCTTCAATGTAGTAACTTATAAAAATTAAATAAAATCAGAAATGAATATCAGATAAACTTAAGCTGGAAATAGGAACTTGACAAAATTTATTTAACACGGGAGGTTATAGTAACGGTAAGATATTTGACCTTAAGATGATTGTAAGTGATAATTTCATTCTAGCAGGTCGAGTGTGGTTTGTAACCCGTTGTAATAAAAAGGCGTTCTTCACTTATGGGTCGTGGATTCTTGTTTGTTTGTTTTTGAATTTCGCGCAAAGCTACACGAGGGCTATCTGCGCTAGCCGTTCCTAATTTAGCAGTGTAAGACTAGAGGGAGGGCAGCTAGTCATCACCACCCACTCTTGGGCTACTCTTTTACCAACGAATAGTGGGATTGACCGTCACATTATAACGCCCCCACGGCTGAAAGGGCGAGCATGTTTGGTGTGACGGGGATTCGAACCCGCGACCCTCAGATTGCGAGGCGAGCGCCTTATCCACTTAGCCATGACGGGCCTGTCGTGGATGTACTATAAGTGTAACGATCAAATTCCACCATTCGATCAGATACGTGTAGCCCAAACGTCAGCGGCTGTTGATGTTTATTAGTTGCTTCCGATATCGTCTATCATTTCAAGAATGCACGCTCAAATAGCCCTTGCATAGCTTTTCGCGGAATTCTGAAACAAATAAATATTTAGTGGTTATGTGTCAATACACCACCTCCTTATTAACTTGAGTTTGAAAACGACAGAAGCTTTTTAATGTGTTGGAATTGTGAATCCATTCATTAAATGATCAAGAAGATAAGAAAACAAGAGGAGGAGGTTATCAGTGTTTTATAAAACAGTCCATTTCCTTCTTTTGTAGTACTATGGTCAACATGGAATACCCAATTAACCTCTTTGAAAAAAAAGAAAGTTTGTTAAAGTTTTAGCCAAACGTTCTTCGCTAGTCAGAACTTCTGAAAGTGCTAGTGATTTAGTTTTAGCCAAACGTTCTTCGCCAGTCAGAACTTCTGCAAATGCTAGTGATTTAGTTTTAGCCAAACGTTCTTCGCCAGTCAGAACTTCTGCAAATGCTAGTGATTTACCAGGACTATCATAAAGAAAGAGTTTTATTGTTTGTTGTATTTCGCGCAAAGCTACTCGAGGGCTATATAGGCTATTCGTCCCTTATTTGGAAGTGATAGATTAGAGAGAAAGCAGTTAGTCAACACTACCCGCCAACTAATGGTCTACTCTAACCGAATGCTAGGATTGACCTTCACGTTATAGCGCTCCCACAGCTGAAAGGACGAGTGTGTTCAATGAAGGGATTCAAAACCTCGACTCGAGAATTGCGAGTCGAGCGCCCTAACCATGAAGCCATGACAGGCCTAGAGAAGTATATTACAGTAATTAGTACAAGATTTCAAGAATTAGAGTTTGGAAATTGTTTGTGATTTTACCATTAAAACAACAACATATAGACTTATGTGTTCTTTAACAAGCAAAAGTACCTGCCCCCTGTGACGGGAAACGTTTAAGTTAATCTATCAGTTTAAATTATTTCATGGTCTTTAAAATTGTTAATTGTGTTGCACTCTTGGTTTCACTCTGAGTCAAAACTCTGAGCTACTTATACCACCTACCGCGAAAAGTAATTGTTGAGCACTTCAGTCATGCTAAGAGTCGTTCAGCAATAACATACAGTAAATCTACATTTTCATTCTTTAAGTTACGTCACATTTTTGAAATGTGAATGATAGTGTGATTAATTCCTAACAATTAGTGTAGAATATCCTGCTTACGAAATAAAATTTGGCATCAACATTATTCATACCTGTTCTCCCGTCATTTCGAAGGTGAATGTTTAGCTTTGCCTGCGTGCACAGCTTTCCAAACGGGAGATAGACGAACGTTCGGACAGACATCACGGTTCGAAATACAGTATATATATATAAGATGAAATGTTTGTGAGTCTTAAACAAAATAAATTTTCTCTAAAATTTTAAATAGTCTTACAGCCGTATAGCTTAAAGTTTCACGTGTAACTACCATATGTAGCGGACTCTTATAATATTTTTTTCAGCTGTTGGTCATACGTCGGTCGACATGGTGGAATGCAAAAGGTATCATTAGGTGAAGGCTGTGAGGGTAAACCTACGGGGATTCATGAACTGATGCACGTTATTGGATTCTGGCACGAACAAAGTCGTTCAGACAGGGACGAGTATCTGGAGATTATTTGGGAGAATATTTTTAAAGGTAAAACTCAATAAATGAAGCATAATATAGAGCTATTTAAATCTGATTAATGTACTTCTTTCGCTAAAAGTATTTGTACATCTTGTTAATATGTTGGATATTATTTTACATATAATAATTGGATCTTCTGTTTTTTAATCACATTATTGTAACCTTAAAGTTGTGCCTGTTTATCTGGTATGATAACAATAAGCATTAATTTCAAATTAAGCATAAATTAATATAAGATTAATTACAATTGTTGATAATTATTGCTTAAAGCATTGAAAAATTAAGTCCATTAAGGTCAAATCATTTGATTTTACAGGGGCAGAATACAATTTCGAAAAGTTAAATTTGTGGGAAAACAACCTTTTAGGAGTAGAATTTGACTATGATTCCATCATGCTCTATGGAGAAACAGCTTTCTCCAAGGATCACAAGTCCATCACCGTTAAGTCCAAGAAGGAGGGCGTGAAACTAATTCCTGTCTACACTAAGAGTGGTTTCTCTAAAACGGATATCCTCAAGATTAACAGACTATATGAATGTTTTGGTATGTCGTTTAATACAAAAGTTATACAGACTTAAAAAATAAGTTCAAACAGTTAGCATCTGATCTTCAAAGTTTCTCTAAACGTATATGCTCAGAATTAACAGACTCTACCAGTTTCGGTTTGTTGTTAAAAAGAGTCACACCAATCTTTAAAAAGTTTTGAACAGTTAGAATTCGCTCTTCACTGATTTTTGTTAATGAAACTTTCATATCTTTAAGAACTATTGAATTTGAAACATTTCTAAAATTATGTTTTACTGTAATTTATTAAATGTCCATCGCATTTAACAGAACACTTCTCTTAACAAGTCATTGCTACAAAGTCTCATATAACTAAGAAACAATCTGTTACGAGTGTACAGCTTTTTGTGTTTTAAAGTAAAGTAAAAAATTAGAACAGCAGGAAACAACGACTAGATATACAACAAATAAATACTATTTAAGTAAACATATCAATTAGTTTTTAAGTATTTTGTTAATTTCCAAATGAAATACCACAACATTTAAAATATAAAATGTCTCTAGAAAAAGCATTTTTTCTACTCAAAACTAAGTTAATGTCAGATATAGTTAGCTGGTACCATGTTATTGATGATGGGTACAAGTAGATATTGGTAAGATATTGATGACAGATGTAGTTATTTAGGGTTATGGTGTTGATGACAAATAGAGTCAATTATCGACTTGGGGTATTGATGAAAGTTATAGTTAACTATTGACATAGTTAGTTACTTAGGATCATGGTACTGATGACAGATAGGTATTGAGATGGTGTTGATTGCAGTTGCAGCTATAGTTTATTATTAACACGCTGTTGATGACAGATATAGTTAGTTATTGACATGGCGTTGATGACAAATGCAGTTAGATATTGACTTGGAGTTGATGACAGATACCGTTAGTTATTGACATGGTGGTGATGACAGATACAGTTAGTTATTGACATGGTGTTGAAGGAAAATGCAGTTAGATGTTGACAGGTTATTGATGACAGATATAGTTAATTACTGACATGGTGGTGATGACAGATAAATGAGTTATTGACATGGTGGTGACAACAGATATTGTTAGTTATTGACATGGTGGTGATGATAGACACAGTTAGTTATTGACAGGGTAATGACGACAAATGTAGTTAGTTACTGACATGGTGTTGATGACAGATACAGTTAATAGTTGACAGATTATTGATGACAGATAGAGCTGATTATTGACATAGTGATCATGACAGATGCGGTCAGTTAGTTATTGAATTGATAATAGATAGAGTTAGTTAGGATCATGGTGTTGATAATGGGCAGAGTTAGTTAGGATCATGGTGCTGATGACAGATAGAGTTCGTTAGGATCATGGTGTTTATAATAGATGGAGTTAGTTAGGATCGCGGTGTTGATGACAGATAGAGTTAGTTAGGATCATGGTGTTGATAATAGATAGAGTTCGTTAGGATCATGGTGTTGATAATAGATGGAGTTAGTTAGGATCATGGTGTTGATGACAGATAGAGTTCGTTAGGATCATGGTGTTGATAATAGATGGAGTTAGTTAGGATCATGGTGTTGATGACAGATAGAATTAGTTAGGATCATGGTGTTGATGACAGATAGAGTTAGTTAGGATCATGGTGTTGATGACAGATAGAGTTAGTTAGGATCATGGTGTTGATGACAGATAGAGCTAGTTAGGATCATGGTGTGGATGATAGATAGAGTTAGTTAGGATCATGGTGTTGATGATAGATAGAGTTAGTTAGGATCATGGTGTTGGTGACAGATAAAGTAAGTTAGGATCATGGTGTTGATAATAGATAGAGTTAGGATCATTGTTTTGATGACAGATAGAGTTAGTTAGGATCATGGTGTTGATAATAGATAGAGTTAGGATCATGGTGTTGATGATAGATAGAGTTAGTTAGAATCATGGTGTTGATGACAGATAGAGTTAGTTAGGATCATGGTGTTTCATAAAAGTTTCACTCGTAAAACAGACTAGAATTAGATTTATATAGCAAGCCATGGGGTCATAGAAATCATACACTAGCTTACACGGGATAAAAAAGTTTCGAGGACTATACCACCATTAAACATCCTAGTTTTAAAGATGATAGAAGATTTCACACAATGAAGCTTTATGTGTCTTTAGGTGGGGAAACTACGACAGTTTGTAGAACTATAGTTTCGTTGGTGATCGAAAATATTACATAACGAGGTTTTACAAAAGAGGAAGGCTTAAGAAACATTGAGTGCTAATTTGGCTAAGACCTGAATAGCCACACACGGAAATTAAGAAGTGGGCATAAGTAAAAATTTTATCATTTCAGAATTATATTTCCTGTTGTCAAAGTCTCAGTTTTCTAATAGTTGAAATTATAACAAAAGTAATCTATGTTTATTTTCAGAATCTAGATGTAGCGTAATCATAAATAACAAGCAACAAAAAATAAAAGTACCAGCACGGAAATATTAAACTGATTTTCTATGATATAATCTAAATGACTTTATATCATGGTCAATGTAGCCGATCTAGGATTTCCAAAAGGGCAGGGAAGTGGAGAATCGAAACATATTGAAGAGGCACTTAGAAATAATGAAATAGTAGTTACAATAAATTCGTAAAAGTTATAACACTAAAATTATCTATGGGTTCCATATCTGTTTTTCAAACCTTTTTATCTTCTAACTTACTTGTGGGCCATAAACTTATTAATTACAGGGCTCACAATAACATAAAATGTATATAGAAATACCATCAATGTTTCAATTAATTACAGCTGTGATTCCCTGTGTCGTTTAAGTAGAAAATGCATTATTTCTCCTAATATTGAGTATTGTAATAAAAGAAAATATTAGATTACCTAATATGATGCAATAATTGTACTCCACCAGAAGTGAATGGTATGAAAACAGGTTGGTGATTTAGGGTTAAAAAAGGCTATGTAACAAATGAATGCCATATTCTATTGTACAAAAATATTGTACATTATCAGTGGTATTTACGGGGCACTATATTTCACTCTGTCATAAAGTAAGGGGGGACTATTTATTCTCTTACAGGATCTACCACTGGTGTTGCTCTCTTTTCAATGACTAATTTCATATAATTGCGTTATTCATAGCGTACAACTTTCAACGTAACTGATATTGTATAGTGATCTGGGTGTGATCTTGTAGGAGAGGTTCGACCTCCTCGGCCTGAACCCCCTGGCTTTGAATGTAACTTTGAAGTTGACAACTGCGGATTTTTCAACGATTACATAGAGGTTAGGTGGATCAGGAATGATAAAGAAAGAGCAGGAAATAAAGGTTTGTATGTTTCTGAACTGGTCATATTGGCATAGAAATGTATACCTTAACTGATACTGGTTACATGTTTACGGCATATAAGTTAGTCGTCTAACTTTCTTTTGTTTTTTGTTCTTTTCTTGTATATCAGAATGTGTAATCCTGTTATAATTTTAAATACATTGTATACTGTTTCCGTATTAACATAACATAAATATAGGTCATCTATGTTATTTATTATTACAAAACTAGCAAATGGTTGTTGAAACAATTCAAATGTAATTTTTCTAAAAAACAGCGACAAATAAATATAAAATATGTAGTCAACCCAATGCCTCAGATTAGAGCGTATATGCATTATGATTGTCTAGCGGGCCGTTGACAACCGTTTTTTGTCATTCCATGTGTTATTCTATTGAAAATAGAAAATTGCATGCATTGCGTTTGTTTTTAAGCAAAGGCGACAATACAACGCATTGTTAGCAAAAATGTTTTGGTTTGGAAAAGGTGCATCTAGCAGAACTGAGTGCTAAACTTTGCTAAGTAGCCACTGGGAGTTTTTCTGTTGTATGTCGCTGTTTCTTGTCATTTTACAGAGCTCGAGAAAAGACCGAAGTGAGCGCTTTTTGACAGTTGTCTTTCCTATAAGAAGTGTCAAAACGGAGATACTCAATTTATTCGACATGGCACAATAAAATAAACAGATGTATCTAATATCAACATGAAAATTTAAGATACATAAGCCAAACAACAACAAATGTGTCCTCAAAATTATATTCAATTCTTAATCAAACTGCTTTTTAGAAGCATACTTTCCAATATCACCCATCGTGGTAGTGTATATCAAGAGAACTATTCATTATATAATGTTCTGTATGGGTTAGTTATGATCCCTGACCCTGAAACGTTGGTCTAGACATCTATTTTGATTTAATCTTCCGGCCAAATTAGTATCTTTATCGTAACAGTACTTCTTTAAATATATTGTCACGCCTCTGTTCGTTAGTTAATTTTCCGTAAAAATTCTTTCCGAAGAAACTTTACCGATACAAGTCGTGTCTTAAATAAAACTGGTTTATTCTTTCTGAATACAACTTTGCGATACACTTAATTTCCACAGTCGCGCTATAACAAACGCTATAATTCACAACGAACGCCTCACGTGCTCGACTCAACAATATGTCTCTCTGTCCGCAGTTCAATTACCCACATTGTTCCGTCACGTTCTGACCGTCTTATATATACAAGACTAACACATATCTAGTAAACGCTAGAGCATTCATGAAGGAACAGGATATTTCTAGAAGTCAATGACGTGTTACTAGCGTCACGTGATCCCGATGTCGTAACAATATCATTTCTAGCACAATACAAGCGAATTGTAATCGTAGACAACAAAATGTGTAAATCCACTTGTATATAGA